AATTGAACACTGAGAGTTCTTTTTACCTTATCATCTACACATTCATAGAGTGCTTCAATTCTATGCCTAAGCATCTTGTTTAACATGTATAGACTAGCATAAATGCATCAGGGGCTATTCGGGGTATATTATCAGTTTGCAATATGCAAACTGGAAGAGACGGGACCAAAACACCAACCGTATGATTAACAGACAACCCACTGTACTTCTTGAGTCACACTCACCACAAACATGTATTGGAACTTGTTGAAATTGCACTAAATGCAAACCTTTACATAGCTTCTTTACATCAAAAATGAGTTATTATGCAATTGTTTTATTTCTCTACTCAGTAATTTGAGATATACTAAGAGAAGTACTAAAATAAAGCATAAATTATATGATAAAAGCAGCACAAAGGAGCAGCAATGATATTAATAATCACATACAATAAAGCAACATTTTTTCTTTAGAGGTATAAGAGCTCAGTTACCTGTAGAGAGCACAAGGAGAGTGATGAACAGAACCATCATAGATATTTTTACTGATGGTTCTCAGTTTTCAAATACGCAAGTTGATCAATGTGTATATATACTTTGGTGCAGATATTGCTAAGTGGAGGAACATCTGCAAGCAGTAGGGATGATAGGCAAATATAGCTTCTGATCTGTGTGGATGCGGCATCATCTTCCTTCCTTCCTGTGTTTTTAGTACCACAAACAACTTACTAGAGCTTTCTGAGAAACAACCTCTTGCACAAAATCCACAAACACCCAAATGTGTCTATGCAAGGGTCTCATGTTTTTTACATGAGTTTTTTTTTCTGTGTTTTTGAGACTAAAATCAAATCATCAGTGGGATTTGATTTTCCTGGAAAAATGTAATAAATTGAATAAAATGAACAGTAAATTTTGGGGCGATAAATTGTTCAAAAATTTAGCAAACCAAAGGAAAATAAAAGCACCCAGTATTTGTTGTAATGGTTATTATTTTATGATAAAGTCCTATGGCCAGCCACTTTATTAAGTAAATCCTGGTCACTTAATTTGGCGCACCGTGTGCATTCACCTGTGGCCACTTTATTGGGTACACCTACGGTCTTATAAAGTAGCCACTTTGCCACTCATGGCAACAGTTTGTGTGGTTAATAAAATGACCCACCATGGATAGAGTATGCTTATGGATAAATCAAACAAGCAAACACAAACTATCATATAAAACATTTCTAAAGTTATTCTGTCTCCTTCTACCAAAACAACAAGAGTCAAATGAACCCAGGCCAACAGTATTTGTATAATACTATTCAAACATGGCAAGAGTGTTTTACAGAGGGGTTGAAAGAGACACTAAACATATGTGAACATGTCATGATATAAAGCAAACACATACAATCATGATAAAAATGAATCTTGATAATATACGAACTGTAATAAAAGTGAACAATAAGAGTTTTTCCAATGTTTGCAGACCTCCAGTTTGTTCTGCTGTACTTATGTCTGTGCTGTGCGGTATGCAGTTTTTACTGGCCTGCATTTTTTAGTTAACAGGATGCAGATGTATTTAGTGCCAGAAAATCTCAAAGTCCACCTCTGCTTCCGCCCCCTTCTCTGATTGGCTAATAGAAATGGCAAAAGTTAGGGGAGGAAGAAATCTCTGTCCTGCTGTAATTTTGGTGGAATGATTTTTTCTTCCTGTCTTTCTCTCCTTGTTTTGCAGACACCAGTAAGACAGTAAGATGGCCTCGGCACATGACAGAGCTGTACTGCAGGCTATATTCAACCCCACCACCCCCTTTGGAGACATTCCCAGCCTAAACCAAGAGGAGGAATTAATTGATGATGGTGAGCATGAGCTTCTGACTGGTGTGTCTCAACATATCATGTCACAGTATATTGAATTTATTTGAACACATTCCATTTCTGGGCTGCGAAAAACATGACATTGTAATCCAAACTGATTTCCGAGTGACATTTCTCTGTTTTCCTTTCCACGGTACCTGTCAATTGAGTTTGAGTCCTTTTTCAACCTGTTTATCTCCTCCTGCCAGACAGTGGCTTTGACAGAGAGTTGCTGAAGCAAGTGAAAGAGCTGGAGATGCGGGGTGTCTCAGCAGCAGAGACTGGGGATTTACAAACTGCGCTTCAGCTGTTCAGCCAGGCAATCCAGATTCTTCCTCAGCGAGCCTCTGCCTATAACAACCGGGCACAGGCCCTGCGACTGAAGGGGGACACAGCAGGTATGTGCAACAAATTCAATAATAACCCTTTCCAGAGATGCCATGGTGTGCCAACTTATCAGACTGCCGAGTCTAAGGCCAGCGTGAATACCGGAGCTTTGTCTAGCTAATGCACTTTGTCAACAGCGATGGTGCTCTGAGATAGTGTGGTGTTTGGTTGCTTTTACCTGCTGCCTGACATAAGAAGGGCAGGTTTGTAGGCAAAAACAACAGTCCTTGACTCACTAATGACTAGCATGTCACTAGCAACTGCAGATTTCTAAAAGAACGTCTATTCATCTGAAAGTCATTGTTATGTGTTGTTGAACCAGTAGAACAAGGATATTACTAATACATATAAAGCTTTTGAATGGATAATGCTCAGTTATGAGCAGTTTACTTGAGAATGACTTTTTGTTTTTTCCTCATTATTTGATTTCCACAGTACTTGAGAGAAAAGTAGTTCAAGCACATTTCAGCTGTGTTTATCAGAATGAATTTTTCAGTAGCCTTACCCAAAGCCAAAGCTGAGTATCTTAGAACATCATGGCCTAAAAAAAAAAATCAACTTTCCAGACATGTGTTTGGTTCACGGTGCTGTTCTCTTTGCAGGAGCCCTGGGGGATCTGGACCAAGCGATTGCTCTGAGCGGCAGCACTGGGCGTACTGCCTGCCAGGCGCTGGTGCAACGAGGCCTTTTACATAGACTAGCACGCCAGAATGATGAAGCCAGAGCAGATTTTGAAAAAGCAGCTGCACTTGGAAGTGAATTTGCTCGACAACAGGCTGTGGTCCTCAATCCATATGCTGCCCTGTGTAACAAAATGCTGTCAGAGGTGATCAACAAACTGCGCAACCCTGAAACATCTGACATGCAGTGATGTAAAACATTAGGTGTTCGTCTTCTTTGAAAGTCTGAAATCAATAAATTAACCTTTTTATGATGTTCTTTAAATTCTGTTCATTGTGCTGCTTTAAAAAAAGTCACGAATCCAACTAAAAATCACATTTATTCACATATGCAGATCACACTTATTTCAAACTGAGTTGTTCTCATCACAAAGCAAGCACTGCTGTATTTTATTAAATATGACACATGCAGCATGTGATGTAATCTCCAGCATTAAAATGCCAAACCACACCATTTGATACAGATGGGATACTTAAGTTTTTATCCACTAGATGTCAGTCTTGTCATACTGAAACAGTCATCAGCGTTTCCCCTTCCTTGATTTTTCTTTCAAACATTGCCTTTCACCATAAGAATGAAATATGCTGGAACAAACAGCACTTGTCATCTCAGTCATGCCAAATGGTTCATCTAATATCAAGAGGATGTTCCCCAGGCAAAACATGCCCAAATGCGAAAATTCGAAATGCAAAAAAGACTTTTAGCATTCATGTACAATGCATGACAAGATCCATCTCAGAGAATTTTGCACACCAACGAGAAAAATGATCTGAGTAAATGCTTTAAAAAAAAAGATGATTACATCACCAAGATATCCTGTTACACTAAATTATTCTTATTTCTAATATACGACAGATTGTCTTTCTGCAGGGCTTTAACACACTGCAGCTCTGTTTTTATACAGCAGCTCTACATGCGGAGGCTTTTTCCACTTTTCAGATGAGTGCATACATGTTACGTCTCAGTGATTTCAAACAAGGCATAACTCGTGTTGTGGTCTGCCCGCTGTGCTCTGAAACGTGAGCGTTATCTTTTATGCTTTAGTTTCCCATGTTTGTCTCTGACCTCTCCCAGGCAGGGTAAAGCCACCGGCTCAGTGCGATCTTCTCTCTGGTAGAAGGAGCAGGTTCCCAGGTGATTTGACATGGAAGGAGTATCGCTGAAGCTCCATCTGTCCACAGAGGAAAACTGAGAGCTGAATTTCCAAACCTGTAAAACACAGAGGCAGAATTGAAGGAGGTGTGGGAGGCTGTCATGGCATCTATCAACTGTTTTGCAGCTACAGTATACTGCGATGAGGAGGAATGTATTTTTAAATACCATGGAATCTAGATCGCATAATACTTTTATCACATGTTAGGGCATGGTGTTATTTCTGTTTTGATCCGTGACAAATGTATACAAATTATGCAATTCATCTGAGAGCAAATACCCAGCTGTTGCCTACACAGTCTTATTAACATCCTATGTTTCCATGAATGATCACATATCTGACTTGTTATGGTAGCACTCTGTTTACTGGCAGCAAAGCCTCAGGCCATTCCACATCACTGATGTCATCGGCATGCTCTTTGTCTCATGATCACTGCAGTACAGAGATAGTCAATGCAAAAATATACACACGTGCATTGATAGTGTTTTTTGCTTCATTAGCTCCAGCAGAGGGGCTTTGATCACACGTTTGTTAGCAGGAAAACTACTTAGTGTAGCTAAAAAATTATGAAAGCAAGTACAACCAAATTGCAACTGAAAAATAGATGTCTTATCTATCCCACCTCCATTTTCGCTGCTCACCAACAACAAGTCATTTTTTTTTACCAGCGTATTTAATTTGATCTTCAAAAAATCTGGGACATTATAGTTGTGTTCTCAGTCAAAAGCTTTTAATTATTTCATTTTGTTATAACTTCCTAGCTGCCAAATTCAGGTATTTCTGTAAACTACCAAAATTCTTTAATAATAATGATAAGCAGGCATCTACAGAGCCTGCAAAAGTTCTGCACAGCTCAACGTTTGTCCTGAAGAGATGGTACTTTAATGAAACATGCATTTCAATTTCCACAGCTCAGTATTCATAAATCTGAACCACTTAAAATGTGAACCCTTTACTCAGTTCTAATAATTCCAGAGAGGATTTAGTTAATTTCCGGCTCCAGGACCAACAGGCATCCTTGTGGGGTAGTGGCCTGAGCCACCAAGCTAGCTAACTGTGTGACTTTAACCAGGGTTCAATTCTAGTTGTCGTAGGTGAACCTCTAATAATGCCCAATTACAATCGCCGTACTTTTTTTTAATATGCTATGTAGTGCTATTTTTTTGTTTTTCTTTCTTTCTTCTGTTGCTGTTAATTAGCAAACCATTGCTTGGACACCAACGTCAGGAAAGAAAACTAAATTTCATTTCCTTGTGGTTCCTGACCTTAGAAGAAGCTGATATTTTGCAAGGACACAGACAAAGGCAGTAAATCTCCAGGGTCTGATTCAGTGGGAACTCAATAACTGTTGCCAACACAACTGCGGCTCAGTTTGTAATATTGTTAGAGAGGACTATTGAGAGTCAGGAGTGTTTACAGTGCAGCTGCTGTCATACTGTATGAATGACTCAGATTTTCCAGTGAAAGTTAATAGAATGATGCCAGGTACTAAAGGGAAACTGATAGAGAAGTTTGACATGATGTAAATAAATAGAAATGGTAAAACAATATGGTGCACACACTTATCTGTGAATGCAATCAAATTTACAGGTCAGGGAATATAAAGTGACTATAACAAAAAAAAAAAAAACACATTTGCAAAAGAAAACCAATATATCTAGATAAATAAGAATACTTGCTTTCTTTTGGCAAATCCAGGAACTTCCTTCACTGGAGTGTTTCTTTTTCTCCCACTTGAGGGAGACCATCCCTCTCTCCTGCAGCAATGTGGCACACATCTCTCTCAATAGATGGGAGACTTGGGACAACTGAGACAATGTAAAACTGTCAAGGTAACCAGCAATATGCTGAATGATCTCCAAAGGAAGGCTGCTTAGGGGATCCAGATTTTGTGCATCATTCCTTTGAGGACTGAAGGTTTTCCCACCTGCACAGAGTGATGAATTGGCTTTTGGTTGGAGTACCAGAGTGCTGCCATCTTTGGAGAACTTAACTATTGCTTCCTGACCTGTTGGGTGAAACCTCATCTGGGTGAAAGTACAACCAAGGTATGCTAAAGGGCAACGCTGCTGAAACCAGCCATTTAGAGAGGCTTGTATGTCAGAATGCACGTTCTTGAAGTGAAAGCAGTATTCATCACGGCGAAAGTAGTGGCCACACATGTAGCTGAAGGCTGAACTTGTTTTGTTGTGTCTTCTAGTGACAGATTCTGCTTCGATGTATAAATAAAGACGACAAGGTTTACCTGCTATGACATCAGCTAAGGAAGCATCTTGCTTGAAGGGTGCAGAAGAAAAGATGTACGTTTGTGTTCCTATATCTGTGTAAAGACCATCTGTCGACACACTCTCTGAGATCGAATGTCCCTTCAGTTCCTTTTCCAGGGAGCACAGAAGTGTTGTGCTAACCTCTTCACACTTTGGAAGATCCTCAATTGAAATGCCCAGATCTGAAGTGTCAACACTCTGGTGTGTGGTTTGGGCCTTGCGTGAGGGGTCTTTCAAGTGATTGCGCTTTGCTCGATAGCTGGTAGGCACATTAAATGTTCGGACGCTTTTCACCTCAATGGGCTCCAGACTCCCATAGACAAAATCCTTTTCTCTTGGTGTGCAAGCAGCAAGTTGCCCAAAGTTAATCAGCATTACCCCATTGTGCACCAGATACATATTATATTCTGCAATGTTGACTTCTTTGCCTAAACGCTCAAGGACCCCATCTTGCCATGGTGCAAGGCCAGTGGCACCGTCCATGGTTCTGGCAGTTACAGGACATTCTCCACCCTGGTGTAATTCTTTCTGACTCTTTGATGATTCTTGGTCTTCCTTTTCTTTTCCTTTTTCTCCCTTATTCAGGTTTTTGATGGTTTCCTTGCATCCCTCCTTCTCCTTATTGAATATTTTCTCCCAGGAGCTATAATTTTGAATACTTGTCACATCCGTGCACTTTGCCAAAGTATCTCTCTCCTCTTGACTCAGTTCTTCGTCCAACTTTGCACTGCCATTTTCTGTATATTCACCACCGTCTACAGAACAGCAAGCATTATCTGCAGGACTATTGATTCCAGCAGCAATGTTTTGCACGGCAGAATCCTCCAATATCAACTCGGGAAAAATGTTCTTCATTTTGATTGATTGAAACAGCTGCTCTTGGTCCCTATGAGCCATAGCGACATCAAGATTTTCCTCAGTGTTTACCACAGGGTTTTCAGAAACATTTCTATAAAAGGTCAGGTCAGTTTCTGAAATAGGCCAGCGGTTCCACTCCTGAGAGCAACAGACCAAGCTGGCAGGACAGACCTCTAAGTGTTTGGCCAACCTGTGGCGCAGCATGGTGAGAGGACAGCCATAATAAACATTAAGGCAAGGGACTATCTCATTTGGACAGAGAAGCTGGTGCTCTTCTTGCTTGCACATGTGGAGGCTTGCACCACAGTTTTTGTGACATTTCACGACTATACATGAAACAGAGGTCTGCGCAGGGACTTGACAGTGGACATTGTAACACTTGTCACAATGCTTATGATAGCCCACTGGCATCTTCATGCTTTTTACCTAATGAGAGAGATAACCCAGCACAGAAGGTAGTAACAGTAGTAAAATTTTCAAGTAGAGTAAGACTTAAAAATTTCTGATAGTTTTAAAAAGTGAAAATTACTTTACATACCATTTTGGCTTAAGAACACAGCAGTGTGATCATCTAAGAACAAGTCAAACCAGAAACATGTTTACAGTCACATGCTGTCCAAAAAACTGAAATTCACAGCTGATAAGTTGAATTATATGTTCAGGTTAAAAAGAAAAAAAAAATATGAAAACCACAAATCTCAAAGTTTTTCTTTGAAAAAAGCAATAAGAGTGGAGACAATAAGAGAAATATTTCTCACCCTTTGTTCCTTTGTTCACTGGCACCTCTGAATAACCTCTGCACTGTGTCTGGACAATATAAATAGACACAACAAAGGGGCAGACAGGCCAGTGGGACGGGGCACCATTGTCGCACAGCCATTAAGAGCCAAGGTCAAGTTACAGTCTCTACCACTGCTTCACACTGAGAGGGTGGCAATCAAAGCAGGTCCTCACATTCTTAAAAAAAGTTACCCTGTGCTTAAAAACATAAACATTTCAACTTGTTTGATTTACTGAGTTTCCAACATTATAATGTTAAAACTTTATAATTCTATTCCCACTGATTGAACTTATTTGTTTTGATTTCCTTTCAAAATAACATATTCCATAACTGAATGAATAAATTACTTAATAAATATTTTTTTTATTTGATTTTATAGATGGGTGGCATCTAAAATACCAAATTAGTTTTTAGATTCATTAAAGTTTTTTTTCAGTGATTATTTAGTTAATCAAAATTTGAACAATGCAGTGTGTTGGGTTAGGTTAGGCTCATATCATGTCTTCCACTAGGTGTCACTCATACACTTTCAGAAACTCTACCAATGTTTCGCCAGCCAATTCTTACTACATATTAGTTACATTTACAAAGAGAAGAGAACATACTGTGTAGAGTTTCCTGCCCCATCTCATCAGGAGGAGATAAAACAGGAAGCCAAGGCCGTCACTTAGGCACCGTAAGTTAGAAAGAATATGGTTTAGGCTTTATGGCCCTGGGAAGAAGCTATAAGAGTAACTGTTAGATACTTCGAGATGTTGCCAGACACCCTCCTGTGCACATCTCCTGTCCGGACATTTGTAATGCTCAAAGTGTTGTATGGAACAATGAGAATCATATGGAATAAAGAGATTGTTGATTGAGCATTTATACACCGAGTGTTGCTCTTCCTTCAGCCCAAAGATCAAAGAATTGGGGTATTTAACACTATACAAATTTTATTGATGTTTTTCGAGGCTTTTTGAACTGGAAACTGATGCAGTTGTGGGAAACATGGTTCTGTTGGGAATTATCTTCATCAAACAAAGCACTGGTTTAATAAATCAAAACTAATCCACTCTAAAAGTCTAGTAAGCAGTAGATCCAAATAGTGCATATTTGAAAATGTTTACATTGTTTCTCCCCCATTCTCTTTCAGAAATACTGTGCTATGGTACAAATTGGGGGACATTAAACTTGTTAACTAACTCTAACTAATTACACTCATTCAAAATGAGACTGGTGGAACTACCCTTTTTTATTTAACAGCACCATCCTATAAACATCTACTGACACCTGTTTTCCACCCTATGTTAAATGTGCTGTAGACTGAATTTCACAACTGGCATCTGGAAGTTTGGAAGTTTATTTTTTCTTTTCACCTGGCACAGATTACAATGCAGAGCTTATCAGAGGCAGCTGGTTCACTCTCTATAGGCTCTGCAATCAGCATACATTACATCGAGCAAGAGACAGAAAGAAAAAGAGAGAAAGAAAGCCTACTCTAAGTAAAATTACTTTTTGCAACAGAACAGCAGCACAGCTGAGACTGGAGTTAGATTAGTTGATTAATGTCTGAAAATTGCTTCCAGTTGAGTTCAGAAATGATTTATCAGCTTTGTAAAATTGCTTCAAAATTTACTAAAACTCTTTTAAATAAAATTCGATCAAATTAAAACTTTGATCGTTGCATTGTTCCCCAGCATTTAGAGTAAGAAAATGCTTTTTATTTTGTCTCTGCACATTGCTGGTGATGTGATTTTCTGTGCTGCACCGTGGAATGACCAGAAACTGTAATTTGAAGGTTAAAAAAATAATTTGCATCATCCAGTCTGTGTTTTCAGTCACATCTGTGTTTTTAAAAACAAGTACCAGGTTTCGATTTTTTGATTTCTGGCATAAAGTTGGTGGAAAAAATAATAAATCAACACCTTCCTCATAAGTGTTTATTTAATATATGCCTGAAGCCAGCAGCTGGTTATGGTAATTTAGCATAAAGACTGAAATAGAAAGACTGGCTCTGTCACAATATCTAGCTATTGGCACCTGCAATTTTCAATAATTGCCACACTCTCTTCACCATCTTGTTCTTAGTTGAATAAGACAGTATAAATGTAGCTTTCATTGCATTTTCAAATGAGAGGTACAGTGCTGTAAAAAGTGTTTTTCCCTTCTTGATTTTGTAGGTTTTTTTGCACAGATTTTCACACATGTGTAAGATAAATAAATTTTAATTTTAGACAAAGATAACCTGAGTAAATGACAGTGATTTCATATATTAACTGAAAGACACCCAAACCTACCTGGACCCAGGTGAAAAAGTAATTGTCCTTAAATCTAATAACTAGTTGGGCATCCAGACTTTGACTAGACCACTAATTAACACTTTTTCAAGGCATTGTAGTGTTTTTGTTTGTTTGCTTCGTTTTTTGTTTTGTTTGTTAGTTTTTAAACTTTTTATGTGACCAATGGGAAAATTAAAAACAACATCCCAATCATGTTTTCAAAAAATGTAATTTTCATACTCAAACTATTCAGTGTCTCTTCTTTACTAATGGATGTGGTCATTGTCAAAGATGTAATTTCCAATGACGCAGCTGGAAGGCAGCTGTAGAATGGGCCCAGTCAACATAATTATCAAATTTGCATTACATGGCATGCATATGTATTCACTACATTTAATATTGGAAGTATTTTAAAAATGTCACTATATGTTTAAGTCATGGTTCTACCTTGTGAACCAAAGCCTAATTTATGCAGTTAAGTTTTTCTTATGAACTGAATTTTAGCTGCACATGCTAAGTCAATTTGAACTGTGCTGATTAAAAGTTTTCTGAAAAGTTTTGATAGTGTTTGGCATACCAGGTAAGTGTATTACTTGTACTTCCTAACTGTGCTGTCATTTATGGAAAATGAGCACAAACCGCACAAACTATGTCACAGTTGGATGTTTGACATGCAGCACAGCACTATAAATTTAGTTAACCAAGCCAAGCAAAAAACAAAACAAACCATGGTGCTTCAAAGTAGAAGAAGGAGAGAAGACAAAACGATGAGAATATTCCCAGGACTTTGGACCTCAACAGCATTGTCAATACTTTGTTCAGTAAGAAATGTTGAAAAATATACACTTGTGTGTGTGTGTGTGTGTGTGTGTGTGTGTGTGTGTGTGTGTGTGTGTGTGTGTGTGTGTGTGTGTGAGAGCCTTAAGATTAGATGGGTCCTAAATATTCAGGTCCCATCCTATCTTAATGACCTTGTAGTATCACCCCATTGGAGCTCTTCGCTCTCGCTCTGCAGGCCTACTTGTTGTTCCTAGAGTATTTAAAAGTAGAATGGGAGGAGAGCCTTCAGTTTTCAGGCCCCTCTTCTGTGGAACCAGCTTCCAGTTTGGATTTGGGAGACAGACACTATCTCTACTTTTAAGATTAGGCTTAAAACTTTCCTTTTTGCTAAAGCATATAGTTAGGGCTGGACCAGGTGACCCTGAATCCTCCCTTAGTTATGCTGCAATAGACGTAGGCTGCCGGGGGATTCCCATGATGCATTGAGTTTTTCCTTTCCAGTCACCTTTCTCACTCACTATGTGTTAATAGACCTCTCTGCATTGAATCATATCTGTTATTAACCTCTGTCTCTCTTCCACAGCATGTCTTTATCCTGTCTTCCTTCTCTCACCCCAACCGGTCGCAGCAGATGGCCCCGCCCCTCCCTGAGCCTGGTTCTGCCGGAGGTTTCTTCCTGTTAAAAGGGAGTTTTTCCTTCCCACTGTTGCCAAAGTGCTTGCTCATAGGGGGTCATATGATTGTTGGGTTTTTCTCTGTATGAATTATTGTAGGGTCTACCTTACAATATAAAGTGCCATGAGGCCACTGTTGTTGTGATTTTCGGCGCTATATAAATAAAATTGAATTTAATTGAACGTTTAGACATCTTTGTGAGGACAGAAAATTGGCACATCACTATACTTGAATTTGAAGGCATTTTTGAGGCTCAATATCTGGTTTTAGTGTCAGGGTTACAATTAGGTTATGGTTAGGTTTAGGCTAAGGGATAGGGCTGGGCTTTCATTTTCGATGGTGTAGGGCAAGCAGCATAGGAAAGCATTATGTCAATTAGATGTCTGATTAAGATATGAAAACAAGTGTGTGTGTTTGAGTGATATATCTAGAAGCTAGTCCTCTGGAAATAATTGTTGAATAAGTAATTTTGTAAATGAGTGTGCTTGTTTGGCACGGTGACCCATCCAGTCTGTCTGTGAGGATCTGTTGTTAATGGGAGTCTCTCTTCTGTTCCATGCTTATAGGCTTTACAGTTGTCTTCATATTACTTTAGTTACACTAAATCTGTTTTGGGCTTGTGGTAGACAAGTTGAACCATGTTTATAGCATAAGCTTTAATAAATATGTCCATTAGCCAACTCCTGTATGTTGTCCATCATGCAGATGAAAAGCTGTACTGATGATACTGATATTGCTTTGTGATCTTATTTTTGCACTCACACAATGTGTATGAAAGAGAGATCGAGCAAGCAAGTGAGTTAGTAAGTAAGAGAGAGGGGGTGAGAAGATGATAAGAGTGGCTGCCCAACACTCCCACTAGATCGCCTCAACGTAGAGATCAGGGATTCAGGAATGTCTAAGGATTTCCTCTGTTCAGTTGAAATATAGATGCCACTCAATAATATGCAATTTTGTGATAAATATTTTTCTTATTAACTAAAAGTTTCACTAAAAGTTTTCAAAGCAACAAAATGTTTAACAGAACACTGAACTCCCATTTAATGAAACTCAACTGAATACTCAGCTTGAGCTCTTATGCAACCGGGCAGCTCAAGAAGAAGATAATTGCCGCTTGTTCATTTTCTGTGGCATGGATTTGAACAATTCTGAGGCTGTGAGGTTAATGATTCATGGAAGCTCCATGTCATTTAACTCTAATTTAATGTTCTGAAATGTGACTGGACAGGTTTAAATGTTGAAAGAAAAAAAAGTCAAACTTGATTAATATTGAAGACATTCAAAATCTGACAG